ATATATATATATATAAGTTATGGTATCAACAATATACACGGTCGGGATTCGGATTTGGTGCACTCAGGTGTATTTAGAGTATACCTTGAGTACACCTAATACGTGCATGCGAATCATCCCTATGTAATGATTTCTCATTTGTTGGGTTCATTTATTAAGCAGATATCAGAGAAAGTGAAACCCCATCCATTGGTGGTGGCCGTGTTGACAAGAATGGAGGAGATCATTCCCAAGTGGAAGGTGGTTCCCACCAAGGACATCTACGACAATGCTTTTAAGGACCCCATCAAGCGCCAAGAGGTTACATCCATTTTTTATTCATTAAGATATTATTTCCTATAATACATGGGTAAACATTCTTTAATAAAAATTAAATATTAAAAATTTGTTTTAATTATACAGTCTTTTGCTTTTTATTTTCTTGGAAAAATTTTTTTTTTTTTTTTTGCTTCAAAAAATTTAACTTTTTTCGTTGAACTTATGTAGATTGAAATTATTTTGGATTAAACTATTTTTAAATAAGGTATAACCTTTTACATTCTTAGACTACTTCAATGGAGCAGTGAGTCTTTTGGAACATATTCAAATTACTTGAATTAGAACTAAGAAACTGATTTGAATCATAGTTTAATAATATTGTATGTAGTTTGTATCATTTTCAGTAATGAAAGTTCATAGGTGATCTAATGCATCAATTTCCTCTTGTCAATGTGGTTTTCTCTTAAAGATCTAGGATCTTTGTTGTTTCTGAGTTTTGAAGTGATTCCTTATTATAGTGCCATCTAGCTTTCCAAAAAATAATTTTTTTTTTTTATCATTGGAATAAGTAATATAAAGCAATCATCACTCCCATTGCCACCACTTTAGTCCTTTACCACTTCTTGCAATAACTTCCTTCTAGTCTTTTTTGCACTCTCAATTTTTTTGCAATTCATGCATTAACTGATAGTTGATCATTGCACTGTTGTAAAGAAATAGATGTGTTAGTTTTGTGGCACTCTCTATGGTGGGCATGGAGTTCCAAGTAACAATGAAATGCTACCCAGTCATGCACAAAATCTTTCAACAATGAAATGCTACCCAGTCATGCACAAAATCTTCGTATTAACCGCAAGCATGTAGCTCCATCGAACTTAATTATCTTGTCTATCTAGTACTAGAACTTGTTTTGCACTCACCATAGCCACCCAATATTAATATGTTATTTCCGTTCGGAGTCCAATGGTGGGGTGCCACGTGTCAAGTCCAATGATATGCACTCCCACCGCTTTTAACACTGGTCAATGTCAGTGTATTGCGGTTGGACCCACTTGACACGTGACACCTCACCATTGGACTCCTAATGCATCTGAAGTCCGTATGTAATATTTTTTTGAGATTAATTGCGCAATCCCTGCCAAAAATTACTTTTGATCATAATTTTATTCATTTAAAGTTCAAAAAAGTACTCTATGATGCAAAAATCTTTTAAACTAATTAACATGGATTATAATTTAAAAAAGGTTGATTCTTTAAATTAAGATACTGCCAAAACTAACTGCATATATAAAAAAATAAGTGGAAAACTTCTCTAATATAGTGCATTTATAATACGGTTGTACGTGTTCAGATTTATATAACTTTCAATTAGAATATTTATAATATTGAATAAATGTTTTAATAATAATATTTTTTTGGTTCTATCATCTTAATAGATATTCCCATTCAAATTTTATATCTAAACATATAGAGACATAGAGATACATAATAAAATTTGATATAAGATTTGGGTTATGATTAATAGTTTGTTATGTGAGTATTTATACATATATTTTAGGTATATGAGACGTATTCTTGACACAAGATATGGGGAGGAAGCCAAGACATATCCTTGACATAGATATGGGAAGGAAGCCAGTGCTTTCTTTTTTTCATTCTATATCCGTGGTGTGAATTGTTAATGTCCTTGACATAGATATGGGAAGGAAGCCAGTGCTTTATTTTTTTCATTCTATATCCGTGGTGTCAATTGTTAATGAACATGTTTTATTGATCAATTCTATGATTGTATGAAGTACAAATTATATAACAAGAGTCTATGACTTTAACAAGAATAATATAACAAACCCAAGATTAGCATTTTGTTAAACTTTTCACTAATAAACCATTAAATCGATGATCAGATCCGAAGCAACAAACTGCTCTACAAAGACAAACCACGTCTGAAAACAGCCCTGGAGCTACTCCGTACTAGCATCCACCTCGAAGACCGCCTAACACAGGTAACCCTTCCTTTCTTCGTCTTACACGGCCAGGCGGACACGGTAACCGACCCTGAGGTGAGCAGAGCGCTGTACGAACGAGCAAGTAGCGAAGACAAGGCGATGAAACTTTACCCGGGAATGTGGCACGGTCTAACCTCAGGTGAACCGGACCGGAACATAGACGCCGTCTTCGCCGACATCGTCGCGTGGCTCGACGATCGAAGCGGCCTCGGTGGTGGACGGAGGAGACCGCTAGCGGTTAAGGATGTGGGCGGTGCCATTGGATTTCAGGTCGGATCGAAGGCGGATGAAGCCGCGGAGGTAAGGAGTCAGCAACGGCAGCGCCGCCGCGGAAGGATTCTGTGCGGGTTGAAGGTAGGGCCGCGACATCACGCGGCAATGTGAGAGGGTCAGTGTTACGGGGTACATTTGTGAAACAAAAAGTTTAATGTGGAGTAAAATGAAATACTGGGAGTCGGTAAATATAATATATGTTTTTGTATCTTATAAAACAATGGATGGGCTCCATTAATTAGCAATAATAGAAGGGATTCGAATCCAGAAAAGTTTAAATATCACTAATTATTTCTCTCTCTTTCTCTTCCTCATTGATGGAATCAACGAGGAAGTTGTGTTTGTTAAATTCAGGTAGTAATTATTTGTTAAATTATAAAATAATTGATTTTTTATAAAATTAGGATGGATAACTTAATTAAACAAATACCCCTTTATGAATAAAAAATAAATATTGCACAATCTGATTACAACAATTTTTCTAAAAATGTTTAAATAAATAATTTGTATATTACTTTAACGTATGATTTTTCAAATATAATTTTGAAATCTATATTATTTGCAATATGAGTTTTGTTCTAGCCTATTTTTATCCCAAAAAAAAAAAGGGTTACAGTAAATAATAAAAAATATGATGGCCAAAAAGATAATGCATCCAAAGTTGACTACGTTTGCAATGTTAATGAAAAATTAAATATATCATGTAGTATACTTTATGTATGTACTGCTACAACCTACAATATTATCTGGATGGTATTGCTCTCCAGCCTATACTGTCGTAATCTGAGTTGTATTGTGATTGATTCCATAAGCAATGTTGTTGCTCCTCTAAATGCTCTAACACAACATTCTTCTATCACAAAGGACTTCTAGATATGATATGACATAAATAGTTGTTTCAATGGTGTATAACTTATAATGGGATCTTAAAACTATTGCTCTTGTGACTCTGGTGTAGTAATGAGCTGGTGTTGTGATGTAGAAGGCCGGCTAGTTTGCCGCCTAACAAGGTCTTGTTCTAAAAGAATGTTAAAGTTGTTAAAGGTTTGCTCTTATTTGTCACAAAATCTCATTTTCATTTTCATGAATTTGATTTTCCTACGCTGATTATAATCTCATCACAAGGGGAAAGAGTTTTTAATTATATAAGAACTTTCTAAAATTTATCCTGTTTAGTTAGATTTGATTTTTATATAATTTAATTAACTTTAATTTTAAAATAAATTAGTGAATTTAGTAAAACCAAAAATTTTTGAAAATTCCAAACTAAGACTTGATAATAGTAGACTAGAACTTATCCTAAGGGATTTATTATCTCTCTTCTTTGTGGGATTGATATTGGGGTTTTAAAGAAAGTCATATATTACCTGAAACGATACATGCACTTGCGTAGAACTCCTAGTTTATATCATATACATTTTACACACTAGCCGCTTAAATAAACCGGGTCATATTTTTTGCCAGGAGACTAAATAACTGCGTAATTGCGGATCAGATCACCCTACATATTCCAATAAATAAAAACGATATATTGAGGCATGGTAAATTTTTAAAAAAAATTGAGGAAAAACATCAACATAGTTATCATCCAAGATTATAAGCAAGCCCCTAAGAATCGGATCTTTAGGCCTTATAAAGGTTTAAAGATTAACTTCTATTCCACAAAAAGTTAAATACTAGAATTTACACTAGAGGTCATTTACTTTCTTTTAAACTTAAAAAAAAAAATTATGGAAATAAATTGTTCATTTTTTCTTACTCGTTTTGCATAGGAATTTAAATCACCACATTATATGGGCAACAAAATATTTTTTTTAGAATTTCAAATCAATATTGATTTCTAATAACAAGAAACTAAAAATTACGAGCAATTTTTTTTAATTTTAAAATATATTTCTATACTCTAAACGATGTAAACGAGGTGGAAAATGAAATTAATGATTTTGTAGGTGATGAAGCCTCTAATTTTAGCCAGTTGTGGCATCTTAGTCGAAAAATATATGAAAGTATTTGGATCAGAATTTCATAATGCACTCTCACTAGATTTAGGTCAAGTTATATATATATATATATAT